GACCCCATCGCCACACCCTGAGAGCGACAAACACATTGCAATGATTGAATCAGATGCGCTGCGTTCGGTCACTTTCTTTCGTCGCTCTTACCGAGATCTAAGATGCGCTCGCCTTTCTGAGGGCTGAGGTCATTCAGCAGAGGCGCGCCGAGCTTCGGGACGAACCCGGCGTGTGTCTGATATTGAAGGCTACTCCATTCATTCGAGCGCTCTCCAGTGAAGTCGCTGGGCATCAGGACGATGCAGAGTGGCTGCAGGTCTCCTTCCACTTCCTCTCTCCTTTCCCCTCTTCCTTTCTCCTCATCCGTTTCCCCTCTACCTTTCTCCTCTTCGCTAGGACTGCGAGCTCAACTCCGAGGCGATCAGCAGGTTGGGCTGGCGAGAAGGGGATCATGAGCATGAAGACGGATCCGTCTCATCACGATACATAGGTAGGTCAGGTGCCTTCCACACCAAATCCATCCTCGAACCATCACATGGCAAACAGCATCTTGTTGTGTCTGTGTGATCATGCAGACACTTGAGTAGCCTTTCAGTGAGGGCGATGGGCAACGTCTCGCGGAAGACCAGCGACGAGGCCTCGCCGTCCGTCCACGGCCAGTGCCTTGACTTCATTCACCGCGACGACAGATATCAGCTCTACGACGAGGCCAAGGACATCGGCCGCCTCAGGACTGCAGCGCTCTACGTCGGCAATGACCACTCCCAGACGCTCCGCAGCCGACTCAATTGGTCACTCCATCGCATTCGGCTCGCCGATGGGACCCCGCTGGACACCGTGCTGGCCTTCGACCCGCAGTCGGTGACCGAGGCGCGGCTGCTGCTGGCGGCCATGTGGATGGTGGAGCAGCAGAGGTGGGAGGAGGTGGCTGAGGTGCTGCGGTGGGCCAGCCACTGTGGACGCTGCACGCTGCCCGTCAACCTCACTGCTGCCGACATCAACAAACACGCCGACAAGACGGTGGGACTCACAGGGCGGGAGGGAGGAAGGGCAAGAAAGGGCCTCATTTGCTCATCTGTGTGTATTGTCGTGTGTGTAGGCGTATATGTCGCTTCCCCGTGTGGTAACGCAGCTGATGGTGGTGGGGCGTCATGTGGACTTCGCTGACAGCAGCCGGCTGGAGCTGTTCCGCCATGGCCACGAGGTGCGGGCCATCAATGACGAGCCCGACTTCGACCTGGAGGTCGACCCGCCCCTCTTCCCCGACCACCCGTACCGGCAACACCGACTACAGGACGACCCGCCAGTGCGTAGCCACATCCACTACTGGGAGCGCTGCGGCATATGGCGGAGTGGGGGGCGATTCACCGATGCGTCGGTGTCGTCGTGCGCCAAGCGTTTGATCCTCGACCACTTCGACCACACTCACAAGACCTATCGCACATGGAGACTCCTCGACAGGTAAACCCACCGATGGCACTGTGTTTGAGAGGGGTGCGTGTCTGATTGTGTGCGCGTCTGGTGTGGTTGGTTCAGGTATGTTGGCGGCGGCCGTCTGGATGCCCTCCTCAGCCAGTCGCCACACACACCGGTGGCGGGATGCAGCACCACGTTCAGCCGCCAGCACGGTCGTCCTCTGCGATACCTGGTGCTCACCAAGAGCACCCACAACTTCGTCGCATGGATTCACCTCGGCGACTACGCAAACATCGGTCAAGCTGACAGACAGACAGGCAGCTCTGCTGGTCACGTGCCACTAACATTCTCTTCCTTGTGTGTCTGCAGTGGAGGTGAGTGTGTGGACGACCGAGGCGCCTGTGTCTGGTGAGGGTGGTGCCTTCAAGGACCGCTTCCCCCAGACGACCGCCCTGGCTCGTGTGGTGCTGGAGGCTGTGGGGCCTCACGTGTTCGACGGACAACAGCCGCCGCAGCAGCCACAGCCACAGCCCCAGCAGCAGGGGGGCGACGACAGTGACGACGATGGTACGGAAGACAGAGGGAGGGATAGAGGGAGGGACACACACATGGATGGATGGATGGATGTGCCTTCCCTCTCTGTCTGTGTGGTGTAGATGAGGACGGGGTTGATGAGAGTGAGGGTGACGACTATGGCGACGATGACGGTGGGGAGAGAGCAACACACACACACACACACACACGTGGATGGATGGTGCAGATGGAGACGTTGGTGGCGGCGATGACGATGACGATGATATGGATCCCAACGACGGACAAGAGGGCAACGGAGGTACGCAACACAACACTGCACAGACCCCTGGCTCTTGTCGATCTGTCAGTCTGTCTGTTTGTGTGTGTGTGTGTGTGTGTGTGTTGATCAGGTAGCGACGAGTACTCGGAGTTCCTGGGCCGAGAGGGGCCGTCGGAGAAGAAGACTGTGGCGTGGGGCGTTGGCGGCTGCATCGGCAGCGCTGATAGGGGGGAGGGCAGCACGCGCCATCGACTACAGCAACGACCGGTGCAGGCTGACCAACGCATCGTTCCTCACCAATGACGAGCTGGTGAGTTCTGCTCTGCTTCATTGATTCACTCATTGCTTCACACATTCATTGATTCACTGACCTGTACTGTGTGTTCGTGCGGCATCGATGTGTGTGGGGTGTATATGTGTGTGCTGACATGGATGGCTGATACATTTTCATGGCTGCCTCTGCCGCGACATCGAAATGTCAGTGAGCAAATGGATCTTGTCTTTGTGAGGCATTGTACGTCGCATGCATGCCTCATCAACAACGAAGAAGAAGGCTTGTCCCTTCAAAAAAACACACGCAGGCTCATGGACAGACTCAGGCACACCCGACCCCTTATCCTTGCCTTATCCATGTCCACCCCGTCGAAAGGCGCGCTCCCCAGGCCACACACACACACACACATACACATACACATACACATATCTTCCCCATGGCACCCTCCACCCACCCGGCACACACACACACACACACACGCGAGAGAGAGAGAGAGAGAGAGAGAGAGAACCATGCTTCGGTCAGTTCGTCGATCGAGACAGGGCCTGCTCGCGCATTGGCGCCAGTGCATGAAGCAATGTGCAGGTTATGAGCTTTATCGCGAGTGCAGTGAAGACATACATAGTCATTCACCTCTACATAAAAACAGCAGCAGGCTTCCTTTGTAGCGGAGACTACCAATGCCCTTCCTGTGCCGAATCAACTACGGTAGCAGAAGTACTCAAAACTACCCCTCGGCTATCGAATCAATTCTACGATGCATCACAGCACACCCATCACACCCCGCCATGAAACTTGCGGCGCCAATCAAGTGACGTTGCACACAAGGGTGTCAAAACAACTGAATCACAAGCTTCCCTTCATTTTGGTCTCTCTGCAGAGGGGCGGAGACGGGAGACATACGGAGATCCGTTACTATAGCCGCTGTCGTTTTGCTCAGCGGGCTCTCGTTGCTGCCAAGCTCAAGTCCAGACAAGACTTGAGCTTCAGGATTAGATCGATGACCTGGGTACTGGGAGTGCGTTCCCCATCCTCGACCCTCTGCCATATATGCGACTCCATCAGATTCTCTCTTTATTGGCTGTGGGCGTGCTATGGGGTGCGGCCAAGTTATAGTGGCTGTAAGAGGGATTGGCCGGGGAGGTGGGTATGCCAAGGGGCGGGGCCGAGGAAGGGGGGGCTGTAGGGGAGCACTGCCGCAATCGGCTGCCGGTTGCGAATTGGCATTCGTCGCTTCGTTGGGAAGAGACGTTAGACCGCGGTCAGTCAGCTTGTCACCATATGTATCGTATGAGCGATAAGAGGGTGGAAGTGATCGCAATATTTCCCTTTTGCGCGTCGACCTGATATATGCCTCCGGTGCCTCTTTGGCTGACTCCAGGGCATTCTCATCACGTTGGGATTCAGCACTGATATCAAGGAGGTCGTTCACCGGGCTGTGCCGCTCCTCAACTATAATTGGATGGCCATGGCAGAGCAGCTTGACGGCCGTGAGGGCGATCTTAAGGCCCTCATCTTGCGCCCACTCCGCATCCAATACGGCACGCCGGCCGATGTTTGCGTCCCGAATGACGTGCAGCTGCACCGCCAGCTCCTGGACCGAGCGGGTCCCACTGAAGGTGAAGTCCAGATAACGTGGAAAGGCAGCAACAAAGCCGTCCAGCAGGCCGGTTTTCGTCACACTTCCGATGAGACACGTGACGATGAAAAAGTTAATCAGCGGCTGCAGGAGCAGGTGTCCGATCAGGTCGATGAGGGCCGTCACGACGAAGTCCCGATAAATCGGCCACTCGGCCATATCTGCATGCATAGCAAGAAATCTGCATTGTCGACCAGCTTTACACACGAATGAAGGTACCGGCGAGCCTCGGCGAGAGAACGAACGTAAGTGCAAAGTAGATGCACCAGGTCCACCACAGAAAGGCAAGCAAGAAGCCAAGCCGCTCCTTCCTGTGCCACTTCTCCAACCGATCCAGTTTCTGCAGAGACAAACAAGGAAAAGGGCCACATGGAGCGCTGAAATGTGTTGTCGTGCGCACCATCTCAAGCGGAAAGATCCCCGAATGTCGCCCTGTCGCCCCGATCTTTGATATTCCCCTGATTGTAGAGCTCTTCATGTGCTTTAGGTTTTCCCTATGCGTGTGCTCAGAAGCGGCGTAGAATGGCTGAAAGAGGCTGCTGAGACTATTTGGCGCTGGTGCTTGGGGGTGGGCCATTGATGATGTAAGACTGGAAGTGCTGTCACGACGTCGCTTCACAGTAGCAGGGGCGATCACTGGTACGTCTTTTCGGAAGAGCAAGTAGATACAAAATGGAACCTACAGGATAACAAGCAGGGCATAGTGGATGCACAAAACTGGGCAGAGTGAGAGTTTTCTTTCGCTCTCACAGGCTTCGCGATGATCATAGCCCAAAAGAACACGGCTAGCTCTGCACAATAAGACAGCAACCACATGGCTTGTATCTGTATACGTCCCCGTAAGGACACCTACGCCTCGCAGTGATCTCCCAGTCGCCCAGCTCGCCCCCACAATTGAGAAGGCAGTCGTCCGGATGCTTATTGGATACATCTTCATAAGAATCACTGTCCACCTCGTTAGTGTCATAGTTAAAAAGGGCTGCCGTCACCATCAGCAGCCCTAAGAGAACTGCGCCGCCGATTAAACACCTCTGCACAGCTGCATACATACACAGAAACACATCAATCCAAACCTCCTGTTACACGTAATTTGAACGAAACAGAAAGGACAGAAAGAACAGAAAGAGCAGAAAGACAAGTGACAGGTCTCTGCGTACCTGTCAGGACTGGGTTGTGAATGAACAAACTGAGCCACACGTCAATGGACACAACACGGTCAATGGGGACACGCGTCAATACGGGGAGACAAGCGACGTGTCTTCACGTCGCTCAGACCTGTTGCTACCTGAGGAGCGGATGATGTCGGCGCAACACCGTCAAGAATATCCTTTGGCGGCTCCACTCGATGTCTATAGCGGGTTACAGGACTTGATTTTGACAATTGAATCGATCTCTCCCGCTTACATTCCAGCCGCCTCATGCTTCTGTCCAAGATTGTTTCCACCTCGTTGTGCACCTGAACGACAACAAAAACTCGCCATGGAATGGTTGCTTTCCCTGTCGAAGTTTCTCACCTCAGCCCACAGCTCCAAAGAGGACTTCTTTCGCCTTAGTCTATGTGGGGCGTCGACCTTCGGGGTCTTGACCGAATCGTTATCATCATCACGCGACGCAGCCATCCCCGTCTCATCTCGAGCGCAAAAGCTTACGGACATCCTCCGGTTCAGAGGCTTTCTCGTGTTTTCTGCTGTGTGTGTTCTTTCCATGCTGCTGTTCTCCATGTTTTGTGGACCCCCATGATGCTTGACGGCGATCTCTTGCCTCGGAGAGTTAAGTTCTTGTGCTGTCGCGGGCTCTGCAGCAGCATCTGCCTCGTCATCGATCCCCTGGTCTTCAAGCTGTAAAACCACTGGTGACCGGGGCGACTTCAAAATGGAGACCAGGGAGCTGCCAGAGAGTATAGCGGTGGGGGGCCGGATTGCGTATTCGGTGACAGAATCGTTGCGTCCTCAGATGACTGGCCATTCGAGAACGACGATGAACCACGAAACGGCGAACGATCGGCAAGGGTCTTTCTCCACCATCGCTGCACCGTCACCGCCGCTCCTTGCTGCCGTCGCACTCGGACGAGGAGGCAGCTTCGTACCACATCGCGAAGGATCCCCGAGCTGCCAGGAGAACAGAATGATATATAGTTGTTTGATTGCACCTGCCAGTGTCATTGCTTACGTGATGAGCTCGACCGTACCTCCCGACCGAGATGGCTTGAACAGCATCGGCACTTTGTACACATTCCGTCTGCGCTTTCTCCTGCTGCTGCCACCGACGACGCTTGTCGAGACATTGGTATGTCTTCGGTTGTGTTCACTTCCATCGTCCCTTTGTGACAGAGATAGAGAGGCTTTAGCTCTTTTCTCAAGAGTGTTCCGCGGCGAGAGTATTGTACGAGTCTGGGAGTTGAATGAGGAAGCCATTTCTGAAATGCTGCCTCGAAGTGAGGAGCCATTTGGTAGTATGGGAGAGCGGTTGTATACCGGCGAAGCGGCGAGGGCCTCAAGGACGGCTGCTTCAGGACTGCCGCGAATGACGTGCAAGTCGTCCCTTTTCTTAAGCTTAAAATGACCTGCTCTCGTATACGCCTGCAGACACGTGAAGAGAGACATCACTCATCTGATCTGGCGTGGTTGGCTTCAGTCCGTCACTGACCTGATTGCTTTTAGCTCGGTCACATGAATGGTGGGTTGCCGACCAGAGAGGCGGTTGCACAGCCGTTGGAACTCCCGACAAGGCAGACCTCCGCAGCACCAATGGAACGATCGCAGCCATCGCTTCCGCTGCTGGAGCATCCACTTGTATGACTGGTACCGACTGTCTAACAAGGGGTCGGTCATCCAGGTGTCGAGCAGATCCGTTTCTGACACCCTACGAGGAGATAAATGGGCACACACTGCCAATCGTGGCCGGCCACATGCCTTTTCTTCTGTGCCTACTTGTATCTGCGGTCCCACCAGGCTGCAAGGATGAGGAGAACCAAGACAACCCTATCTCTCCGGCAACAAAGCGAGCAGCCACATTCCTCTCCCACTCGCGAATGTCCTTCAGGCGGGTTGTGGAATCTTGTGTGTCTTGAATGACTTCTCCGAAAGTGCTATCCTGGACCGCGGACCTTTACGGACAGAGACATAAGTCGGCGCGTCGCGTTGTGGTGTGATGACACACACAGTCGATGGCTTGCCTGAATATCACCCCAAACTCCGAAAGGTGGAAGCAGTGGCACACGATCGTCTCATCGGTCGTGAGCGTTGTGTTGTGATAACAGCCTAACAGATCGACAGAGAGAGAGAGAGCACCAGAAGCTGAAAGGCTGATGTGAAAATTGCCACTTACATACCTTCTGTGCTCCACTGCTGCGTCATATAGCCAAAGTATCCACACGTCAGCTGTCTCCTCACAATGAAGTGACGACCGTGCCTCACTGCTTCTGTCGTGTTCATCGCCTTCAGCTTGCCGTCGATCTCGACAATCCCGTATTCATCACCGAAGAGGCCATGAGGGTCGTCGCTGTCGGTCTCGGGAATAGGGATGTGCAGAACAATGGGGGCATCCGTCCTGTTAAGCTGCAAAGGCACATCATGATTACAGTAACGCACCTGCAAGGGTGACACAGGCCCGTATGCACCTTTCATGATGCTTTCTTTGTGTCCTTACAGAAGCAGTAAGAGTGCCGCCCTTGCCCTCCCATGTGGTGGTCTCCATTTCCCTCTCCGGCATATCCAGCATGTCTTAACAGTTGCCTCCACGACTGCTGTATCGTTCCGCCTGGCGTCCGAGTACAGCCCTTCTTGCCACCAAATCAGCTGCCCCGTCGGCACAGAGACCGCACTCGAATTACATTGAGTAGATCCGCCGGGATTGTCGATCGTCACGCTTGATATAGCCACTGACACATTCTTGGAGGCAATGTCGAGGGCAAAGCTCGATGAGTTACTGAGGACTCGCAGCGCCATGTCCACCGTACTGCAGTACATAGTCCTCCACTGAAGCACTCATGACAACCTTCATTTCACTTACTCTCCTGACAGGTGTAGGGATGTCTTTGCGTCTCCTAAGAAGTGCAGATACGAGTCGGCAACCTGCCTCGTCGACGCAACAATTTCGCCAATCAGCTGGACGGTCTCGTTTCGAGCGGCCCTGGCTGACAGCCCGCCGACCTGCCTCACGAGGGACGAGGCAGTGGCCAGCGTCCTTCGTGCAGCCTGGCGCATCGTCCTGCTCTCTTCTTGCTTGAGTTTGGCGAGACCGGCAGTCGCATCAGTCGTCAGGTCATTGAGCGAGTCCTGGGGCTTCCATGTCTCCATCGTGGATCGGGTGATCTCGGTCACCAGATCGAACATTTCTACGCCCTCCCGCCCCGCAGACAGAGCAAAGCCTCCTGCGCTCTCAACTGCCTCGACGGCCTCTTTGACCGCCTCGGCCGACAGGAGAACTTCCGATGAACGCACTGGCTGCTCAAATCGGTTTTAGACGCGCATCTGGTACATCTGACAGCCAAGAAATGTTGTCCTTCGTAGATCCTTGTCAACAGAGCGGTGCTCCGATTACATACGTACCTTAATCAGGGAGCAGACAATGTCTCGTGTCAGGCCAGAGACCTCACCCGGTCCGCCATCCTCATTGCCTTCCCCAGTCGACGCTGATAGCCACGGACGGCCCTCGTGTATCTTCTCTCGCTTCTGTTTTGCCATACTTGCCTGCACACGACATAGGCGCTCGCAATTCCAGCGCTGCCAAAGATGAGGTCCTGCCTCGTCACTGACCAGTGTGACTGCGGCTTTGAGTTTCTGTGTGTAACGGTGAAAGGCATCATTGGGTTCCTCGCTGGTGGGCGAATCAGTCAGATTGGCATCCGCGAATAGAAGTCCAGCACTTTGCTCAATCTCATTACTGTCGGCCCTGACCTGCAAAAAAACAGACATTCTTCAGACTGGCAGGTGCAGGCTTGTATTGGAGATGTGTGCCTCACTCGCTAAGCACGGTCGGTGAGGCATGTGTCGGGGCGCGGAGTTGCCGCAAGAGCGCCCATCTGGACGCCTGACTCAGAGGGGAAGCAACGAGGTGCGGTGTGGAGCCGTAACGGCTGAATTTCGTGACGGCACTTGCCTTCCATGATGTGCTGACTGACGATGAGGGCCAAGAGAAGGACGTCTGGCATCCTGGGAGCCTCATTTCACGGTGAGGAAGAACTCTTGAACATCCACGAAAACTTGCAGTTGCCAACGCCCCCGCGTTGCCCCCAATTTACGCAACGCAGTGAGACCCACTGGCAGGAGCTCATCCGACCATCAAAAGCGATGATGAGTACTTGCCGACAGACAAACAGTCGGCCTTTCCCGTCCAGCTAAGTGCGATATTACATGTACACACCCGATACCCCACCACACTCCATCCAATCTATCCCCGCTCAGCGCTCGCCATGGCCTGCGACGTACCGCACCAACCAGCCTGCGGCGTTCCGTCAGGGGCCATTCACGAATGCAGACAAGAATGAATGACTGATCAGCTCAGATCTCACGCCTTCTTGGCCTTTCTCATCAGCACCTCCAGGATATCACCTGACACACACAGCACAACACACACGACGTGACGGATGAAGGCTGTGCCGAAGTACCACCGTGGTGTTGGTGCAACAGCCACCCACCTAGATAGGCGGCGTTGTGGTTCCTGTCCGGGAATGCGTCAGCCTCCAGAATCACCATACGAGTGGCGGGGTCATACCTGCACACACACATAACACACATCCACACATAAAAACATACACACATACATACATACATACATACAGCCAGCCATCTCTACCGATGTGTGATATCATTCTCTCTCGTCACTCACTCACTCACTCACTCACTCACTCACCGCAGCGGTCCCAGTATGTCCAGCATCCTCTTCTCCTGCCTGCACCGACACACAACACAAATGAGATCAACACACATACACACAGACAACGTCTACGAGTGTGTGGTTACGATGATCGCGATGCCACCCACCTCTCCGTGAGGTTGAGGTCGTCGAGCCTCATGGATGCCACACACTGGTACACATGAGGCTCCTTCTCCGTCACTGGAGGGCCCCACCGAGCCTTGTAGTGCAGTGTGTGGGGGAAACGGAACCTCGCATGCACTGCCCGGCCAACACACGACACGACAGAGAACAACCGTCGGTTGTCTGACCTGTTCGCTTCTGCCGTGTGGTCAGGTCAGCCGCACCGCACACTACACGTGCGTACGTGTGGATCTGGGAAGGTGGGCGTTGTGCTGCAGCTGGGTGAGAGGCGTCACGAAGCCCTCCCGGCTGACCTTCTCCTCGGGATCGTCGTGCGTCAGACCCACTGCACTCAGCACCTGTGCAGTGCAGTGCACCAACCACAAAAGTAAGGCATCGCATCAGGGGAGCGTGGCCGTTGTCTATGTACTTAATTACCCTGTATCGGTTCATTCGTCTGAAATCGCTCCGCCTCTTCCAGCCGGCCGCCATTCGAGCTATCGACCGCCGGATGTTCTTGGCAATAGAATAGGGAGGCTCAGGGTTGCCAAGGTGATCCTCCAGCCGTATCGGAGTCACCCTTCACCCATCCACAACAGACAGATCATTCACACGCCCGTCAGTCAGTCATAAGGCTCATCTCTCGTCTGACACACCTCGCTTTAGTCTCGATTTGCTCCTCGGTGGGGTGCGGCCTCTCCCTCTTGCGCTTTTTCTTCCTCTTGAAGCGCTGCTGCATCATCAGACAGGGATACACTGCCGGCTCGAGGGCCATGGGTACCGACGGCGATGCGACGCAAGAGCTCGTGGCAGCCATGCCCCCAGCAAGGCTGCGCACGCCGCTGCAAAAGGAATTCATGCCGAAAAGAAGGAGATCTCTTCGGGCATCTGCGAGCTTAGCAAGCAAGGCGATCATGTGAAGTCTGGATGCTCATGAGTTGGTCTGCTAGAGTGCTGCTCTGGGCTCTCTTGATGAGTGCTTCTGCACTCAGTCTGCCGCAGCAGGAAACACGAAGGAATGACGAAGCGCCCCAGGCTGTGGTCGACCATCTGGGGGAGGTGCAAAGGGCCAGGCCGGGCCTTGGGGCTCATGCCGGCATTGCAGGCGATGAAGATGTGAAGAAAACAGACGGTGGGCAAACGAGGGGAGGGAGGGGAGAGAGTGTTGAGTCGCAATGCGACCTCTGTGTGTCAGGCCCGTCACAAACACATTCGCACAAGGTACGTGCATGAAAGCTCCGGATCCAGGCATTTCCACACATCTCTCCTTTCTCCTTAAATGCGCCTCTCTTTGCAGTGGTACAATCTCTTTGACAACGCACACTCAGCGAAGGCTCCTCCGCCAGGCTCCACCAAGCCAGCACAGGGCGGTCCTGATGGCAGCGACACAGAAGGAGAGAGCTCCCAGAGTGACAGCGGCCAAGAGGACAACAACGACAACGGCGCAAGTTCTGATGATGACCCCAACGAAGATGCGGTCGGTGAGGGAGACACCAGCGATTGCATGGGACGCTGTTTGTGGGATGGTGTGGGGTGTGGTGAATGCAGGTGCTGAGGAAGCTGGCCGCCATTGAAGGCGCGATTGTCGCCCGTGACCCGCCGTCGCAGCGCTCTGCTCCTTCCTCGCATTTGCAAGGGGCAAGGCGGCGAGAACCTGTGCTACCAAGCGGCGACCAAGATGACAGCACCGGCGGTGAAGATGAACACTCGGCTGCTGCTGCTGATGATGCTGATGACAGGGAAGAGGCCGAGGGGGAAGAATCGACCAATGCAGATCAGGTGCATCGCAGCCGTCGTTCCGTATGCGTGTGTGTGCCTGCGTTGTGTCGGTCCCTCGTCTACGTGAATGTGCATGTCAGGCTGCTGATAAAGAGGTCTCTGACGAGCAGCCGCCCGATCCAGTGGACGATGCACCCATTGATGACCAAGACAAGCAGGACGCGACCAGAGGGGCTTCGTCCCATCTGCAACAGAGCCGCCTCACTCCTGCGGCGAAGCCGTCTCACAAACCCCACAAGAAAGCTTCGCATCACAAGAAGAAGGGACAAGAAAGCCATCACAAGAAAGGCGCCCACAAGAAGGCGACGCAACCCATACCAGTGAGAACGAGAGACACCATGCTCTTTATCGCGTTACGTGTGAACATTTCGTGTGCGTGCAGCATTCCTTGACGGACCTGATGAAGATCGAGCAGGAGCCGGAAGCTGAAGACGAAGAAACCCCACAGCCACCAGCACCACCCGCAGAAGACGAGACGGATGAAGATCAGCAGCCCCAGGAGGGGTCGCCGCCGCCCAAACCAAAGCCGCGGCCAAAACACCCCCGGCCGGACTCTTCCGTGGCTATTAGGCATGGCGACAACATATACATCAGTAAGCCAGTTCTCGCAACACACACCCTCGGGCAGTGTATATTTGTGCTTGGCTGCAGCATTCAACGCCCACCAGCGCAAGAACGCGAAGGCTTCTGCTGCTTCGAAGGCCAACCAGATTATCCCGCCGACTAATCCAGATGATGAGCTGGGCAAGGAGGAGTTGCTACAGCGACACGCCGCCCTTCAACGACTGAACGAATCGGAGGCTGGTGAGCCACCACAGATCGTGCCATGTGCATATCATCCTCAGGTTGGACACACTCTGCAGACGAGAATCCGTCGACAGAGGATGTCAGTAAGCCATCCGCGTCAAACGACGGCGACCAAGACGAACCAAACAGCAACGATACAGGAGACAAGCTACCTCAGGAGGGCAACGACAGGCCATCATCCTCCAGCGGCATCGAGGCATATACCGTCAGCTGGCCTCCTCCTGTACCGCCCTCAGCTCTGACTGAACAGCGGAGCGAGCAGAGAAGCCGACGGAGACGCGCTCACGTGGGCGGATCGATGATGCTCGAGTCTACACATAGTGGCCACAGAAAAAGCAGACGGAAGGAGGGAAGGATACACAGGCACAAAGAGGTCCAAGAGAGGGAGGAGGACTCTTCTGAATCAACCTCAACCAACATGACACGTACGAGCGGCACAAAGATAACGCTAACTACATATGCGTGCTCACGTGTCTCCTCTTCCTCAGCGGCTCCCCCGTCTGTAACGCCTCTTAGCGGGGATTGCGCGTCGGATTTCTCGCGAATCCAGAGGACGATGACCGTATACCAATCGACGTGTATTGCTGGGCCGTCGCTACCGTCCCCGCTCGCCAACCTGCCAGTCATGGCTGGGGCAAGGCGACAGCCAACGGAGGGCGAGGGTGAACAGTCTGAAAGGGACATGGGAGAGCAAAACTAGCCACACTGTTGGATCTGTGGTCTGGGGTGTTTCGGTCCTTGGATTTGTGTAGTATGTGTCTGATGTCCGGTGTGTGATGTCCGGTGGGTGTGTCTCACACTGCGTTCATCCGGTCCACCTCTTACGAAGGCATTGTTTTGTGGGCAGTCTGGACTTGTCCGTGCAACATGTGCACGGGCAGACAACGAACAAAGCAGTCCAGCCACACCATGCCGCTTGCTGTCTTATTACTGACTGACTGCCCTCACCCTTCCTTATGACCCATACATACCCTAGTTCAGCCCCGCACCTCTAAATTGCAGTGCAGGCAACAGCCACACCGGCCCTTTCCGAACACACCACACCCTGATTTTGTGAGCCATACACACACAAATGACTGACTCATCCATCCATTACAATTTCGAACTCAGCCAGACCCGAAAAACGATCCGAATCAATCAGCATAGGCAGACCGCATCCGGCCCATGGGTCACTTGTTGTCTTGAATCAACTTCCTGCAAACACACATGGCGGCAGGTGAGGCACTGGCTCAGGCATCCCTTACCGCAGCTTCTTCTCGTTGGCGCCCGAGAACTCCGCCTTCTTAAGCTTCTGGCCGCTCTGCATGAGTGAGTGACCACACACAAATACACACACACACACATGCCATACTGCACGGCGCTCGTGTTTAGTCCATGAGCTCACCTTCCAGAATTGGAATGTCTGAGGCAGATGCATTGCAACAAGACAACACAAAGAGCAGAGCCTCATGCATGAGTGAACGACCGCACCTGTCTCCCTCACTCCTTGTTCCCCTCCCATCTCTCCAAACGTACCGGCATGGAATTTATCCCGAGGTGCTCTGCCAGGTCCGCAACCTCGTCCACGTCAACTGCATACACAACACACACGACACACACGACACACTGCAAGGCATGCCGTGTGCGGTGTGTCAGTGTGTACCTTTGAAGAAGAGTACGTCCGTGAACTCGCCACTCATTGCTTCAACCTTCGGCGAGATGTGCTTGCATGGTGGACGAAGAAATCGACTACGACCAACTTGGAGGCCTCGGCCTTCTTGACCTGCTCCTCAAAGTCTGAACCATGCTCACACCAGTGCCACGCGCACACAACCCTCAGTTCGCATGCGGCATCATTTCTGCCTCTGTACGGGCCCCTTCCCTCCTCACCTTGCTTGGTGGTGATTTGTGTGACGCGGGGGGGCCCGGACGTCCTGGGCTGCTCGCCAGGCTCCTCTTGAGGCTCCTTTGTCGTCACGCACCCCATCCTCGCTCGCGGCCCCGTCCTGTGGGCGGCCCCGCAAACCTCGTCGAATCTGCGCGCTCCGCTTGCCACGACTCCGCGCCGACCGCCTGTCGTCGCCCTGGGCAGTTGCGGCACTTTTGTTGGTCCCTTGATGAGCTCAAGTCCACCATACGACGGGGCTGTTCGCAAGATGGTGAATAATGGGAAAAGTGTCCCATTATTTCCCCCAGAATATTAGGGTTGGGGTCTAGGGTTTGCGAGCTTAGAGCCGCCGAGGAGGGGTCCATTATTTTGACCACAGAGCTTGCAAGATCTGGAGCACAAATGGCGTCGAACACTGTTCTTGTCGGCTGTCTTCAGTGCTTCCAAGACGAGCTGCAGAAATCTGCCGCAGATCTGATCCCCAAGAGCCTCAAACACCCGGACAACATCGCAGCGGCCGGGACTCTCCTCGCCGACCTCCACACCCATCTGCAGCCGCACATGGAGGCCCTCATGGCGGCAAAACAGAGCAGCAGTCCGTCTGAGGGGGCCAAGGCAGGGCACGATGGTGATGGTGATGGCGGTGGGGAGGGGCGGGTGCGGGAGAAGGAGAAAGCACGGGACGAGTTGATGCACCAGGCAAGCCAGCCAGCCATCCAGCCAGGATGGACGGATGGATGGATGGACGGACTGATGGATGGATGGATAAAAAGCGTGTGCGTGTGTGTGTTCTGCAGGTATCTCAGCTGCAGGGCCATTTCTCGTCGCTGCAGCACGACGCCATGCGCCGCATCAGCCACGACGTGCACACTGCAATGGAGGCCATGAAGGAGGGGCAGGGGCAGCAAAGCGATGCCGCAGCGGCCTCCCCTTCCCTCAACAACACGCAGCCACCAGCCTCCCTCCCCGCCCCGGATCTGATAGACTCCCTGGCGGCGTTGGTGCCCTCTGTGCTGCAGCAGGCGGACCGCACGACGGCCGTCATGCGGAGCAGCTTGGCGAGCGCTCATGCGTTGCTGGAGGTGCGTGAGCTGCAGCAGGAGGGCATGTCTGACGTGGAGAGGCGGTTGATGGCTGGAGGGGTCGGGGCGGGGGTAGTGGACAGCAGCGGGCGGGGGTCGATGAGCGGTGCCAGCGGCTCCTGTTGAGGAGCTAGCCGATAGATGGCAGCTTGGGCTGGGTTGAATGATTTGATGGATGAACTTCGGTAGGAGACCGTGTTGAGTCCATGTCGGTGTCCGTGGGCCCGTGACGCAATGTTTGATGCATCGACACTCCCACTATGTCATGTCATTCATCAAACACACCAAAAAGAGTGTGGTCGACAGACATCGAGTCGTAATATGGATCGTGTCTTTCTCTCGCCGAATGTCTGTGTCGTGTCGTGCTGTCATCACTCAGCCGACGGTAACCGCATCTCACACATGCTAATCAACGTGCCGGAAAAGCGCTCTCCGTCCGCTGGTTGATGACAAGATGACACTGCTCAGCAACCACGAAGGAATCTCCCAATACAGTACGCAACGACAGAGCAGCACGTCGCCGTCACTCGTATTGGGAACCTCACTGCAACGCTCAGGCAGGCAGGCCGGCTCCCCCCACACAGGCCGACTACCGCATACACAGACATCAAGTACGTCAGGACCTAGGCAGTCAGAGCCACTGTCTGGCCAGCAGCTGTACAGACGCAAAAAGGCTTCTTCTGAATTGCTCATGGACACGCACAGATGGACACACACATATCGACAC